CCTCATAATAGATTATTATTTCAAGCGGAATCACCTCATAATTGACCATCATCAAAGCGGGTTTACTCATAATAGACATGATTCTAGACATCGTCACCTCATAATAGATCATCATTCTATGCTAGATCTTCATAATAGACCATCATCCAAGTAGAGTTGCCTCATAATAGACCATTTACGGTAAGATTACCTTATAATAGGTCATAATTCTAGGTATGGTCACTTAATAATAGACCATCATTCGAGCGAGTTTGCCTCATAATAGACCATTATTTCAAGAAGAATCATCTCATAATAGACCAATATTTTAGATAGGGTCATCTCACAATAGACCATCATTCTAGGCAGTGGTTTCTTAACAATAGACTATTATTCAAGCACGGTTACCTTATAATAGATTATCATTCGGGTAGGGTTATCTCACAATAGATCATCATTTTTAGAAAGGTTGCCTAATAATTGATCATCGCATAATACTTTTTAAGGCGAGTTGTCCTTGATAATAAACTCATCACATTTTAGTTTTTAAGGTAGGTCTGCCCTTAACAACAAAGCCATTGTATTTTATTTTTAAGGCCGAGCCGTCTTTGACAATAAGACCATTGTATTTTACTTTTAAAGTACGCCTCATGACAATGAAGACCATTGCATTTTTACTTTTTACAAGATCATTTGCATTTTATTTTTGGGATAAGCTACCTTTGATAATAAAGCTATCATATTTTATATTTTAGAATAGGCCTCTTTTGATAAGATGGTCATCACCGTTTACTTTTAGGACAAGTCTGCTCTTGATAATAATGCCATTATATTTTACTTTTAGGACTTGTTATCCTTGATAATGTTAGCACTAAATTTATACCCCAAGCAATTTAATTAAATATGTGAGTTTAAAAGAAAATATAAAAAAGAAAAAAGAGAATTAAAAAAATATGAAGTTTGAGACCAAAGAAACCCAATTAAGGATGCAATTGAAAGAATTAAAACCCAAGATTATAATTGAAGGAAAGAAAGGGTATTATTGAGGAAACAACCAAACAAATCAACATTGAAATTAAAAATTAAGAAAAACCAATGACAAAAAGTAGTGTTTGCATAGAATCCTATTTTTTCTCTTTACATACCCAACCCCTTCAAGCATTTAAGTTGGACATAGATCCCAAAAAAGAGAAAAACCTAAAAAAAAAAAAAGCAAAACAACCCTCAAGGAGGAGTAGACCCATCAACTCATCCAACTCGACCTTTTTACCTCGCCGTACCCTTATCAAATTTCTTCGCCCAAATAGACCATCTTTTGATTGATATTACATCTAACCACCATCATAAATCGATATCCCACCATTAGATCCCATCAATCTCAACTCGGTTAGGGAGTAAGAACTCACAAGAATTAGCTGGAATTGAGGAGAAAAGGTTAGCAACCCAATCCATTTCTTTCCCTCTCCGATGTAGCCATTTTTTGACCAAACCATTGACTACCACCACCATATGAGTGTTCCTTATCTAAATCAATGCGAGAACCCCCTTATAAACCCGATGGAAAACACCTAAAATGGATAGCAAATGAAGGAAGAGCCCCGTTGCTCAACTCGTTAATCCCATTTGAGTTTTATCATTTTTCGATTATATCTATAGTAATCACTAAAAAAGAGCTCTTCCTCTATCCTTTACCAACTATACGCAACTTGAAATTATTGAAGAAGATGACTAGATCAATGGAAATCCATTGATGATCCAAACCCAACCCACATCAATAAGGTCGACTTGAAAATTGTTTGTCATGTTTGGTGTTGAAAATCCTACATCTTTATTCTAATGGAATATCATTTGGTAATATCCCACTAAAACAAGATCTGTGAGATGCAAGAATTAATACCTAGAAATTGTTTCAATATTGTGATATCTAGAATTTCTAACTATCTTAGATATTTATTCATGATAAACAAATTTGCAAAAAGACTACCATATAATTTAGTCATACCCGAACACAAAAAGGTCATTCCATGTAAGGTGATTCCATATATTGGTTTCTATCGAAGCATGTCAAAAGTATAGATAATACCGCAACACATAGAAGATAGACAACAAAGTCGATGTAAGATGCAATTATCATGCCGCCAATATTGAAGAAAGAGATTAGTAATAGCTTAAGGCAAACTCTTTATAAGTTCATCACCATGGTTTTCTTTAAGGAAAAGTTTGAATACCATGGTTGTCTTTAAGGCAAAGTTTGAACTCGCTTAATCAACCATTCAAGCACTGCTTGTTTAAAAATGAAGGTGCAATGCTACTTAGAAGCAAATATTCTACTAAGATGGAAAAACGAGTGATGAAGTTAAAGAGCTTATGAAAGTCTTTTAAAGAAAAATTAAAGGTAACACCAATATATTAAGGTACTTGACAAAATAATTAAAGAAGATTAAAACCTCATATTTTTACTAAGCTTTATAACACCTTCGCAAACTAGAGCTTGGGTTGTAAAGCGGACTTCACGATCCACAAACCAGAGCTATCATCACAAGCATATATATGTGGATGGTTGATTGTGACAAGGATAGACTGTAAGCACCATAGGAGTCAAAAAAAGAAATACTAATACCTAATTCAAATCATATATGTAATGGTGCATGTGAGATATTCTATTCACAACTACTTGGAAAATGCATCATAAAAATTTGCGAGTCAAGATATTCCTATAATACGGAAAAAGAAGCATAGATAGACAAGGCTCCCAATCTTGAATGTCGATTCTTGTAAAACTTCGTTACTCTTGCTAATATGGCATTAATTTAGCCTATATTGATTTAGCAGATTATGCATAATCAAATTTCATATGGTAAGTTATATCATACCAACTTAACTTGAATAATTAACTTTAAACGAATAGAATTATCACAACATTCTATCATATTCAATACTCTTGTTCATTTCACAATCATATAATGCTTGTAAATCAAAATCTTTCTACTATCAACTGTCGATTCCTTAGATTGTCCAATTGATGGAAAAAATATCATCTCACCTTAATATAAGCATTCTAGTAATCTTTGATACATGGGTTTGAAAAGAATGAGTCATCCGATGAAGAGACATTAATTCTTGCTTCTTTTGCCCACTTTTACATACTAATTTTTTCCACCAACCGCAATTGGATTATTCACTAGTCTAGGAATTAGCCTTATATGATTCCTCTTTGCTTCAAGTATCACATAGTTTAATCCCTATAGAAAAATACCTCCATTAAACACAAATAGGAACAAAAACTCGCTTCAAGATTCTTCCTTCTCAATTGATTTGAAAAACCCATCGGCCTTTAATAAGGCCTTTTATTAGTCTTAACCTCCCCTTCAAGATTTTAAAGTCAGTTGAAAGCAAAAACCTCTAATTTTACAACCTAAAATATCAAAAGTAACTTTCCTTTTTACAGGAAAAAAAAGTTTCAAACTTACACCGGAGAGACCTACAAAACATTAGGGCCATGACCATCACCGAAAGCCTAAGTCTCGATTACTACCATTCTATCATAAAAAATGATACAAAGGGACGAAGAGAGATTTTATATGCTTCCACTCCACTACTCGATTCATACCATTCTATCCATCAATTTTATCCGAAATAGCGATACAAAGCAATCTTCGGTAGATGTGTTTGAGACTAATTCAAAATTAAGGGCATAAAGGGAGATAGAGACATAAAGTGGGAGTGGGTATGAGAAAAAAGAGAGGAAAGAAAGAAAAACCCTAGAAGTCAAGGAGAGAGGTAGGATGATGAAGCGTCCGTTTTCCTTCTTCATGTCTCAAAAAAAAAAAAAAACAAAATAAAAGTGGCGCCGGCTACTTAAAAGGTGGGGCGGTTTTATCAATCGCCCCATATTTTTTATGTAAGCCAAGTAAGTCATATACTAATGAATTTTGAGGAGTTTTATTGACCGCCCCAAATATTACGCACTCTACGACTTGTTTTTGTTGTAGTGTTTTACTATTAGTAACTAGACATATTAATGCAAAAAATATCCAAAAATTAGATGGAAATATCAAACAAACGATTAATAATATAATTTTAATTTTTAAGAACTAATCTATCAAGTAGCGAGGTTATCTAGAACAATCTGCATTTAAACGGATATAACTCTTCATATACAAAATTAATGACAAAATATTTTATAAAGACTTAGAAGAGACATAGATTAACAACTTTTATTCTAGCAACTTTACCTAGAAATTACTCTAAGATCTATGAACAACGAGTACAAAATTCGAGCGAGAACCTAATCCTTAAGAACACCCGCTTTAATAATAACTCACTATGTAATCATCTAAATAGTCTTTTATATATATATATATATATGAAAATTAGAACATTAAATCCTAAATTATAGTCTAAGAACACAACCTGAAATCTAACTCAAAATCCATAAACACAAGTGGTTCAAGAATATTTAACCAATTAAAATCATCGTAGACATGCTCACCTTGATGTTTTAAAAATCCAACAAGCTTTTATCACCCTTGAATCAATAACTCCAAGCAACAACAAAAATTCTATTAACCCTTGTAAAAGGTGTGTGTCTTAACTTACTTTCCTATTCACAAAAACATTAAAAGATTTCTGACTGCCAACATCGTTATTTATCCGTTTTGAATTAGGAAATCAGTTGTCTTTTCTACGCAGGACAACATAAACGGACTCTTTTGTATGTATAAGCAACTACACTATAAATCGATATCATATCCTCTTATTTTTTAATAGGCGGCCGCAAGACGTTCTCCATCTTTGTTTTTTGTTTTCTCACAAACCCTACCATCCTTTCTTTTCCTCTCTTAACTGATCACATGGCCTCTTGGATTGAATATGGTTATTGTGTAAACTTAAAGCCACAAGAAAATCATCAAGAATCGCAACATATCAATGGCCAACCCCTGAACCAGGCAGCTTCGATGTTACATGTAATTTTTTCGCTATATAAGTTCCAGATATTTGGTAACTTAACAGATGGGTCGATGGTCAGAACAAGACCCGTGGAAATAAGTAACAAAGAGACTTGCATCCCTGTCACCTTTTCATTGGTTGATGATCATGAACAAGAATTTAAAGAGATCTTGACAGTGATGGGAATCCCTGTAAGTAAGCAATCGGATATCTTAAAAGAGATGGCATCGGTTGCTCGTAGCAAGGATACTTTTAGTGGTGTCTTCATGGGTGTTGAATTATTGGAGGGGACCTTCCAGGAAATTACTGAAGCTGATATTGCTGGAGCTGAGATGGAGTCAATGGATATTCAGGCTGGACCAGTGCCGGCTGCCAAGTCCTCTATTGATGCATTGGAAAGGGTGGTTTTCGACGGTTCGGCGTCAGCGAGAGACTGTACTGTTTGTATGGAAGAAATTAAGGCAGGGAGTGAAGAAATTCGGATGCCGTGCTCGCATGTTTATCATTCAGATTGCATTGTTCAGTGGTTGCAGACTAGTCGGTTGTGTCCTCTTTGCCGCTATCGTATGCCCTGTGAAAATTTGTGATCTTGATCAGCAGCACTAACTAGTTTTTCTTTATCCGCTTTTGCAAAGGATTGGAATTTTATGTGTATCACATGATTGAGACAGTTTAATCAGTAATAAAGTTTTGATTTTATCAATTTTTTAGTTAATTATAGCTGTAATTAAATATTTCAAAGGTTGAATAAAGGTTGCATGGATTTATGGCTAGTTTAGGCCATTGTTCATCCTTTAAAAGCAATCCTTTAAAAGTCGGCATGACAACAAGGGTACGGACAAGTAGAGGTGGAAATGGACTCTGCTGTTTTGGCCGATGCTGTGAAGAGTTCTTTCTCCTGTGTCCTTGGTTCGAGATCCTCTTTTTCATGAACTTTGTCTTCTTCTCCACTATGATTGGGTGATTCGTGTTTCTCTTAGCATTGGAGTGAATTATTTTGAAGCAGCTCCTGTAGGCATTGAGCTCTTGTTTCAGGATATTGTTGGGGTGGTTACTTCTCGACTTTGTTGAGAGTAATCTTTCTTTTTATCATCAGGTATGTTAGAAGTTGTAGTTCAATCGAACAAAAACACAAACATGCCCATTATAAAAATATTTCACGAGTCCTGTATCTTCATGTTTTTGTCAAAGAGAGAAATACACTACTAGTAAATAATTCCTTTGTAGTAATTCTATTGATGACTGAAGATTATAGTTTATGTAGTTAGTTAAATTTGTCTTTTTATTGAAAGAGGGGCTTTAAGCCCAAAAAACTAGAAACACAACATTGACAGGGTATAGCCAATCGAGAAAATGCACTCCAATTGGAGAGGGAAAGTCTTGATTTGCTGGTAAATCTGCACACCGATAACCTTCACCGATTGAAGAGTTTGAGGAATTCTAGAAATAAGTACCTTTAGATCCTATGTCGGTAAAGTTATATTATAATTGTAGTTAAATTGTTAGGATTGCCTTTTAAAGATAATCAAATGTCGCTAACCATGTCTAAAAAAAAGACAGTTGCTATGAATGCCAATGTCGGAAAAGTTATAGTACTTGGAATGACTGGTTACTCAAAAATGCGGATATTGGTATCGAACAATTGCTACTAAAATCCATTTTGTAGTAGTGCGACTAGTAAAAAGTTAATGAATTGAGTAAAATTGGAAATAAAGTTAATGAACATCTGGACGTGAATAGTTTGTTTAAGACCTGATTTGAGAGAAATTTAGTCTTGGTGAACATACTTTCACTATTAAATCTAAAAAAAAAAACCCAACTATTCTCAACCCACGGTAAAACATGGCTAAGACAATCACCTTGGTGCCCCTGAACTTTTGCATATATATATATATATATATATAAATGTGTGTGTGTGTGCACGCGTGCGCGCGTGTGTATATATACCATCCAAGAAAACAATAATGTCCTAAAAAGATTACTTGACTAAACCTTAACCAATTAGGTATGAAATACTACATAACATTAAAGGTTTTGAAACACCAAAAAAGACATTCAAAAAATTTAAATTATAGGAGTCAAAATTTGATTGTTGAATCTCGAGGGGTAAGAATATAATTTAGCATTTCTATCAATAAATAAGAATCCTTTTAATTATGAAAAACACGATAGACATCTAAAAAAATACATACCAAACGTTTATTCTAATTATAATTAGATCAAACCAAAAATACATATCAAATGTAGATTCCAATCATTATTAGATCAGACGAAAGTATCATCTTTCAATATTTGACTCAACCGATATTGTTTGATTTTTTTAAAAAAATTTTAAGTGCTCTTGATGATGTTGTCATCAGCTGTTAAATAGCTAAAAATTGATTGTGAGCTACATTTGAATTATTATTTTTTTCTTAGTTTTTTTAAAAAAAGTTTATTAATTTTAATTGGATGCTATTGTACCTATAACAGGAAGAGAGAGAGAGAGAGAGATGATATAAGCCATTAAGTTCCATTCAACAATTAGCGCCCAAAAGCCACATTGAAAATTTTTGAAAACACCAAGTTTGATATTTAGAAAATTTAAACTCTAAGGCCCAAAGTAGAACATTACTGAATCTATTAGGGGTGAATATATTGTTTACCTTATACGAATAGAATTCTTTTTCAGTAAGAACAACATGGCCGAATGTCTTAAGCAAAATGTATGTATATATATTTATATAAAGAAACACAGAGCTGTCTTCTACAGTAACATTCTCCTCCTCTGTTTCTAGCTAGTTTTCTTTTTCACAAACCCTTACATCTGGTTTTCATTTCCCTCTCTTTCTGAATTCAGTCATGTCGGCTCCTGTAGTACATTACGAGTTCCATGTTGAATTAAAACCCTTTCAACGAGAACTTATGAAGTTCCCCGTTCTCTTCTTGTTTGGTGAGGTACATTACCTCATGCACATTACTGAAAGACTAATGGAATTCCGAAGAGCAAGAGAGCCGCTCATAATCAGAAAACTTGCTCAAATTCCCGTTGGCGATTCACTGCTTGATCACATTCAAGATTTCAAAGATATCTTGACTGGGGTGGACATCCCTGAAGTCGAACAATCAAAGATAGGAGATGAAATTGCAGCGAAGGCTCTTGACATGGATACATACAATGGTACCTTCATGTCTGTGTTCAAATAGTTGCTGTTAAAAGTGATTTAGAGAAGATATTACAAGAGATGAGAGGGAGTCAATGAAGCTTGACCAATCCCGGCCACCAAGTCGTCTATTGATGCATTGGAAAGAGTTGTTTAATGTGACGGTTGCCGCTATCAAATGCCCTGTAAATTGTGATCATTGCTGTTTACTATAGCTTTTCTTAATTTGTTTTAAAACAGTTTTATTCTAAATAAAACTATGATTGTAGGACTTCTTGTTTTGTTTCTTCATCAGAAGTTGTGTAATTAAATTTCAGTGGTTTGATTTATGGCAAGTTTGTTTATGCATCCGCACTAGACAACTAGATGTAAATATAATATCTTCTTTTGCAATTTCAGGGGAATCCATAATTCTGTATGGTCAATTTGTCAGGTCATGATAGAATTCCATTTGTAATTTCAGGGGAATCCATAATTCTATATAATCAATTTGTCAGGTCATGATGGAATTCCAAGAACAACGGATCGGACTATATATATATATATATATATAGACTAAGATTTGGCAGATATCATCCAAGAAGGCAATGGGGTCCTTGTACAATTGGAATTTGAATTTATGTCACTTCTCAACATATACAAACACAATAACAATTAAAATATTCATTTTAATCCCAATAATTTTTAAGAACACTTTTTTTATGTTTAAAATTTATTTATTTTTTTTCATTTTGGTCATATATTTATAAGTTTTTTTTCCTCAATTTTTTTTTTGAAAAAATTATTTTGGTCCTTAATTTTTAAATTTTATGTAATTAAATCCCTGTATATTAATAAAAAAATCTAAATAAATTAGTAGGTATCAATAGGGTAAAGAGTAGATATTCATACCACGAAATCATATCAACGAGTATGTATTTTTTTACCTTTACCTACTTCAATACTTATTGAATATTTTTAATAGGTATTTATTTGATCGGGTAAAACGGATACTCGTTTTATACCCGACGCATTGTCATCCCTAGGCCCAATAAATGATTAATAGTATTAATTTGGTGTTAAAAATACATGAATTTGTTTTATATGACAATTTCATTTGCCTTCCTCTAATCTAACCTAGATATTAGTTGAGCCCAAAATATTCTCTCATTAATTTATTAGCACGCAATTAAACTTTATTAGTTTCCATTAAATATTGTAATCATAAAGATATCTCGTGCCTTTCATATTTAAATTACTAGTGTCGTAAAAATTAATTATGAATGTTGATTTCATTAATCATTATTGAATCAAATAAGTTGATTGTTTTCGCTACCATCTAAGCCAAACTGACCTTCTGTGATGCTTTTTTAAGTCTCCTTCGTGATATTGTCCTTGCCCACTAAACATTTAAAACTTAATAATGAGCCTACATTTAGATTTTTTTTTAATTTTTTTTTTAAATTTCGAGGCCTTTTTTGTGGATTCTATCATGTGTACAAGAGAAATACGAAAAAAGTGAAAGAAAAGAGATGGAGGCTATTAAGTTTCATTGGACATTTAATAGCTATAAGCCGCACTGAAAAATTTTGAAATACCATGGTTGGTATTGGGAAAATTTAAACAATTGGAACCAAAGTAGAATGTTGCTTAATCTATTGGGGTGAAAATATCGTTTACATTCTTCTTGAAAGAATAGGAATCCTTCCTCGTTATGGATAACTTGACCGACTGTCTCAAGGAGAATATATATATATATATATATATATAAACACGCGATCATGTGTCCTATAGCTACTACATTCTCGTTCTTTGTTTCAAGTTAGTTTTTCTTTTTCACAAACCCTATCACCATCTTCTTCGTCTTCTTCTTTTTTTCCCCCTGATCTCTTTCTGAATTCAGTCATGTTTCCTCCAAGAGTTCATTACGAGTTTAATGTTAAGTTACAACCTTTTCAAAGGACAACTACAACTTTTCTTGTACTCTTCTTGCTTGGTGAGGTTGAGTACCTCGAGCATATTACCGAAGGACTGAAGGTATTCAGAAGAGCAAAGGAGTTGTTCATAGTCAGTAAACTTGCTAAAATTCCTATTAATGATTCATTGTATGATCACATTCAAGACTTCAAAGAGATCTTGACCAAGATGGACATCCCTGAAACCAAACATTCAAAGATAATGGACGAGATTGCATCCAAGGCGCATGGCATGAATACATATAATGGTTCCTTCATGTCAGTTAGAATAGAGAAAGTTATATTTCGACATACTCAGAATGCTGTGAATAATAAAGAAAAAGTTGCAAGAGTTGAGGGGAAGTCATCGGACGTGTAACACCCCCAACCTAGGATTTAAATAGATTGAGGATATTATCACCGTTGATCTATATTTGGAGTGCAATGAATATAAGTCAATAATATATTGTGTCTTTGTTGTGACATTACTAGGTATGGGTTGTGCTATGAAAGTCTATTAAATAGCCATTAGGTCCTAAATATTAGCCCAAAATACATTGCTAAATTTTTCCATTCTAATATTTTATTTAAATAATTTGGACTAAATTGACTAAATTTGTGTTTGTCGATTTTGCCAAATTCCTTTTTATAAGCTTGTATAAATTTATTAAATTCATTTAGTCGGTACTCGTTATTTGGTGGACTAACCTTTTCCTTTATTAATTTTATTTCTTTTCTTAATATTATCGTGATTACTTAATCGTTCAATTTATGGTAAGTATTGGCATGCAATCAATTAATTAAGAGAAATTAATACTACACACTCGCTATACTAGAAACTACTACTACTACTACGCATCACTACACTATTAAATTATTAACAACATGCCCAAAGTTGGGTTGAAGTACAACTTATCCATATGTTTTCTTCTACTACAAAAGTGTATTTATTTACAAACTATTTCTCAGCATTAGCTAACTATTTACTTGTTCATAACTTTTACTATCATATAGAACAAAGAAGCCATACCCATTAGGTATGCTAAAATACCAAGCACTAGCAAGACAATAGTGTGGAGTAGGTCCAATTTACACTCGCATGTGAGATACACATGGCGAACCAATAAGAATGATCCTTCGATAACCAGACTCAAATGAAAACATCACCCTTACTCTTTACCTTAGTTTCTCGCATCACACGACCTCGATGAGCGATTGCTCGGTAAGTTAATCATGTATGCTTTGAATGTATGCAAGTGTAATGCTGAAAAATCAATTTTCATGTTCATTCGAAAACCTTGTTTCATGCTATGAAATCATTTTTCTATGATCATTCTGAAAAATCTTTTCTATGCTTGGATGTGCCTTATTGAGTATTCGAATGTACACATCCATACATGCTCGGTCCTCTTTCCCCGAGCATTTCTCCTATGGGGTCATTACCGGTTCCCCATAGTCGAGGCCATTACTAGTTCCCCCAATGAGAAAATGACATTTCCTTCTATTGAGGCCATTATCAATTCCCTTAATATGAAGACATTCTTTGAAAGGAAATGCGGGAACCATGAAAACCATGAATCATGAACCATGATAGCCATGAAAACTCTTCATTTTCCTTTGAAAAATCATGAAGGAAATCTTCTCATGACTTTAAACTTTTCCATGATTTGGCATCCACATGCATTTAAATGTAAATGCATAATCTTCAAGAATCCATGTAATGCAAGCCATGTGTGGTGTGTAACTATACCATGACATTGCATATCCCAAACTCAATAAAGGCACAACAAAATACATTACCTTGCCATTCATGATTAACCATTCAAGTAGATAATACAACCATTGAACCATCCATATGGTGCATCACACAATGTCACATTTCATAGCATTAATCAATTCACCAAACATTGCACCGAGTATCCATTCAAACACAACTTCCATAAACATAAACAATTATGTCACAAACATATAATTGCATTATGTCACAAATATATAATTGCATACTTTAAACATATACATTGCATCTAATTCACCATGAAACCACAAATTTCAACAATTACACATTCAAATATCAAAACATACCAAAAATCCTAATTTTCTCATTTGGGCCAAATTTTCACCTCGGTTAAACTAGGTGAATTTTTCGATTTTAATATAATTTTTCATACTAGATCATCTAATTACACTATAATAACACATAATTAATCAATTAAATATCAAATAAACAAAAGCACTAAAAACCCTAATTTGCACTATGTGGGTTGAAACTTTCACCATGAAGTAGACTAGGGAATTTTTGTTTCTAACGCTTTTTTCATACTTAATTAACATTTTCTAACTTCAATTACTCGGTTTCACCCTTAAATTCATTTCCCTTAATTTACCTTCATCAAGAACCCTAACCCTAATATTCTAAATTAATTCAATTAAACACAAATTAATTGGTGAAAACTAACAATTAACATCAATTAAAATACTCTTGTGATATAGTTGAGATTAAGTTACATCAAAAGCTCCAAATTAGTCTTGATTAAGTTGGTTTGCCTTGAAATTTTTCTCTCTTTTTTCTCCTACTAGATTCGGCCAAGACCAACTTTTGCCGTCCTTAAAAAGTTTGATCTCGCCACTTAAAATTATAAGCTTAATGAAGTGTTTTAGGGTGGATTTAAGTGTTTAGGTGAGATTATTTATTATTTTCTATGAAAAATTTGCAAGAGTTTCCCTTAGTTTTTCTAATTTTCTAACATTTTTTTTTCTTCTTCCTTTCTAGCCCTATTTATAGATGAGCTTAGGTACACTTTTTAATTGTTTAACTTGATCTTGCCCCTTCATTTGATTTAATCTCTATTCTTGATTTTACTTTTAATCCTAACCTTTCATTTGTTTTAATCATAGTCTTTCATTTTTCTTTAAATCTCATCCATCCATCTAAATTCATCCTAGCCTTCCATTTGTTTCATAAGTCAAAGTTCATTAATTACCCTAAATTATTAAGGGTTAGAGGTGGCAAAAGATGGAAGAAAATTGCTTCCAAAATTTTTTATTTTAGTCCCTCAATTTCTTACTTTTTCTAGTTTCTACTCCTACTTTTAGTCCTTTCCTTTTTAGTTGGCCACTTTTTGGTCCTTCCTTAAATCTTTTCTAACAAATTTTTACCTCTTAAAATCCATCTAAAATCCATTTACAATTTTATTTGAAATTTGAAAATTTTAATTTTATGCAATAAGATCCTTAATTTTATGCAATTAGGTCCTTATATATTCATAATTAATTCTATACCTTTCTGCAAATAATTTATTTTCATAAAAAAATCAAACACTTTATATAATAATTTATTCATCATTCACAATTTTTATCCCCACATTTAATCACTCAAATTAATTATTTTGCGTAAAAATACATTTATTCGTTCGGAAAATATTCACCCAACATAGAAAAATTTATCTAAGTGCATGGAATTTTCTTACACCTCTGTAGCAATATTTATGTGCCCATAGAATAATTTTAATGCACATTTAAAACACTTAAAAGAATTAATTTGCATAAAAGTACTATTCATGCATAAAAAAAGCCCATAAAATATTTACCGAGCAAAGAAAAATTCACCCAAATGCACATAATATTCTAGCACCCTTCAAACAATTCTAGGCACACAAGAAAATTTTCACACATATTTAATATATATTAATTCATTTATTCTTAGGTTCGAGATATTACGGGACGGTTAAAGGTAGATCGATCCCGACAACTAATTCATTTACCGATGCATTGGAAAGATTTGTTTTCGATGGTTTTGGGTCATGAATAGACTGCATCAAAAAGTTATTGCATTGATTGTTAATGAGTATTAGAGCTTTTCTTTATTTTCTTTGTTCCGAGGTTCTTGTATAGAATAAAAAGGATTGAGTTGTTCTTAATATTATGATTTTATATTCTTTTATGAATTCTGATCTTGATTAGTAATAGCTTTTAATTTTCAATTTCCCTTTTAGTTATTTTTATAGGATAAAAAAAATATTCATCCATGATTTAGATAAAACAGTTTAATTTTAAATAAAGTTATAATTTTAGTGGTATTTTTTTCTTTCTTTCGTCAAGATATGGTTGTAGAAAATTTGATGTTTAATTTATGGATTTTTAGGGATTTTGTAAAGATAACTAATTTGTACCAATCTTTTCATTAAATCTTTCATTTATACCAATCCTTTCATCAAATCTTTTAGGTACGTATACATAGTCCTTTCCTACTAGGTCGGAAAAGATAAGGATCGTATAGGATTGAGGTTGTAATACCAAATGTTTTTTTTTTATGTATTTAGATGATGTGATGATCATGTATAGAGTTTTAGGATATAATATATATTTTTGGGTATTATAGATACTATTTTTATAGATAGAAACTAGTCCTGCAATTTAGCTTAAGCAATTAGGAATTAAAATAGTAATAATAATTAATAAAATAATAATAAAATAATAATAATTTTTAATAGCTTTTAAATTGAATGTTAGTGGTTATGAAAGAAGAGTAAAAGTTTTGAAACATATATTAAAATTAAAGAGATGAGATGAAAGGCTATGAAAGAAAAGAAAGTGACCATAAAAGAAGAAGGTTAGTGGTTATGAAAGAAAGCCACCTAGTGGCCATAAAAGTTGAAAGTTAGTGGTTTTTTATTATTTTTAATTCATGCACTTTAAATTCTCAAATGTTTCAACTTTCCATACCTATATCTAAGGTGCCATTCTCCTTATTTAGGAAAGCCATTTCATAAGCTTATATTTTGAGAAGAGAGAGAGAGAGAGAGAGAGAGAGAGAGAGAGAGTATAATTGAGAAAAAAGTGAAGTAAAACGTATTTGGAAGAAGATTCGAGTCTTGGTTATTAAATATTCAAGAATATTTAATTTAATTACTTGTTTTTATATGGTTTTAGGTAGAATTGAGTTTGAAATTTCATGATTTAGGATTGATTATGTAAAAATTATATTTTAGTATTAAAATCTTAAATTTTTTAGAATATTTGATGATCAAGTGTATTTAAATAGAAATTGAAAAGGTTAAGTTAAAATTTAATAATATTAGATTATATGAATATAATTAAAGGAGGATTGAATAAATTAGAGTAAAGTTGATGATTTAATTTATATTTTTAATTTAAAAGAAATTATAAGAAAAGAATAGGAATTAATAAAAATTAAATGATTAGAAATGTAATAATAATATTCAATTTCTTACACTATGTGGTGTGTATGTTCAAGGCGAATTAAGTAAGTGTAACTCACCTACACCATAGACGTAAATGCTATGTGTTTTTATGTGATTGGTGTGATGTGATGGTATTAAAGTGCATTCATATATTTTATATGTTAATTGAAAGAAAATG